TTATTAGTAGTATCCAGTGTTATTTTCTGCTGCCCCTGCTCTGCCTCCTTGCCTACAGCTGAAGACCATGGTCTGAGCATCCTCCAGCAAAATGTCCTTCATTTGTCCTTGACCCTCTGGAGACATCGCTGACCTCCCTGTGCTCTCCCTCTGCCTTCTGGCCAACAACAGCATTGCATTCAACTTAGGACCAATTCCACAGCAAACCCATAATCTTTAATTCTGTTAAAATCATCCCCATTTGGCTGTGGCAAAGCAGAGCCCGTAAATCATGATTAGTGAAAGCAAAGGGCCAGAGAAGAGATAATTAATTTCGCTTTGCTGTTCAAAGGCTGCACTGCCCTTGCTCAGTGGAGGATTTGTGCCCTTTAGACAAAAGGCTGACAAGTGTCACCTGTTAATCTTCTCTGTGTGCAGCTCTTTGCAGCGTGAGATGGTCCTGTCACAGGGCCCTGCTGGCTCTGGCAGCTGCTATTTGCAATTCAGCTGCAAAGCTCTCCCTCTTTATTCCTCTGACTATTTTTAGCATTTCTCTTTAGATGCAATAAAAAAAAAAAAGACATCTCATGTCGGTGATAACCAGGTTGTAGTGATTGTTCCCCTTAAGGGACAGACATGTTGGGCAATGGGAGGGGAAGGGCTTTCCAGGATTGCTCCAGTGTGTGTGAAACATCTGCTGGCTGTCACCCAGGGTGGAGACACCACTGTCACCTGCGGCAGATCCCTTCAGGAGCCTGTCTCCAGCACATCCAGTGTGTGGGGGTTCAGCTGGAGAGCTGGTTTCTGCATCAAGGGCAGGTCAGAACAGCTTGATATATGCAGAGGGCAGGCAGGAAAAGTCTGCTGAGCCTGCAGCATGTTCCAGAGTGGCAGGGCAGGGCTCTTGGGAGCATCAGGGCTGCATTTAAGGAGTTAAAAGAAGTCACAGTGCTCCCTGGAGCTCTTTTCCTCCCTGCTTTAACTGCAGGAAAAACAAGTGAGGGAATGGGGAGAGCCTGTCCCAGAAATCTCACCATACACGTCCCCCTCACCTCACCATCTCAGCCTCTCTCTGAGCCTTTGACAGACAGCTCATCAAGCTGAATTTGAGCATCTGAAATGTAGTCTATTCTGCTAAATCATTCCTGCTGGTTTTAATCCACATTCATACTATATTTCTGCCGTTTTATTTTCCCCTCCCCTCTCCCCTCAAGGGAGAAGCAGTAGCTTTCTTGGAGATAGCTTATGATTTTTCCAGACAGAAATTGTTTCCATTCCAGGGTTATTGGCAATACCCAAATATATGTCCAGGAATTGGTCAAAGCCAAGATTTAGAGTTGCTGCTTCTAATGTCTAATAAAGCAGGACTGCAAAAGGTCAGCCTCTGTGCAACATAGCAGCCAGTTCCACCAGCTAATGGCATAATCTATTATAGAAGTAATTCCTATGTCTTCCCTTCCCAGTCAAATATAACAACAGTGGGGAACATTAACTGTCTAATTTAATCCTGAGTTTCTTATAGTGCTAGTAAACCCATTAACTAGGGCTGTTATCCAGACTGATTGAGTCTTGACCTTGGCCTGTGTTTTTAAGTGAGCTTTGCCATTCCCTTTGGGATCAGCAGCTCCATTCAAGCAGCAGCTCCACTGCCCTCCTTGCAAGGCTCTGTGCTGGTGGCCCAGCCTGGGTGGCCCTGCAGCAGTGTCCTGCCCTCTTGCTGTAGCTTGCACTGCAGCGCATTCATCATTTCAAGGTCATCCAGAGCTCTCTGACTTCTGAATTTATGGAGGGTAACAGCAGCCTTTGCTTTGCTGTAAGCACTTCCCGTTGCCATTGCTTCACCTTTACCCCAACAGCTCTTGTTCTTGTGCTTTTTAACACTGTCCTTCATACTCTCCTGCTTTTTTCCTCTGTATCATCAATGCAGGCTGCAGCATCAGCTGCTCTGTTAGCAGGTGTTTTTGCTTTCTCCTGAGCTGCCCCAGCTGCTGGGCAGAGCCTTTGCTAGCAGCATTCATAGTTAGCATCACATAACAGCTTGGAAGGGACCTTAAATATCATCTGGTTCCAGCCCTGCTGCCATGGGCAGGGACACCTCCTGCTAGGCCAGAGGAGGGGTGGCTTGGTGTGAGAGCACAGATGCCTTCTCTCCACACAGGTATAGTGCAGAGGAGTGCTTGGCATCAGCCTTTGATGTGATTCTCCCTGGCAGGTAAGAGGAAATGGTTTATTGAATTGTTTTGAGTATTCAGAGGCCAGAGGGGTTTCTGTGAGTGGTCTTCTCCCACCTTTGTGTGTCCTCTGCAGTAACATGGCTGACTTTCCCCTGGAGAGGAATTGCTCTAAGACCTAGTTCTGGGTGTGCTGTGAACTCTCATAGCCCTCAGTTTCACTCAATCCTGGGCTTCCCCTCCTCTGTCCTGGTCCTCAGCATCTTGCTAATTAGCCCAAGCATCTGTTCTGAGCACAGCAGTGAACATTTCCCTGAACAGCTATGAGTTGTCTTGCCAGATTGTTATTTACGTGCTGCTTCAGGTCACACACTCCCCAGGGCAGGAGTGAGACCCGAGTTTGGGCCATTTGTCTTCCATGAGTTGAAGAGAATAAAGAAAACATTTACCTTCTGGCTGATGGTCCATTCATCTCCTGCTGAATCTTACGTCTTTGTCTGTCAGATCTCCCTTTTTCCTGCACTATTTTGAGTTCTCTAAGCACTAGTTTTCATCCTTTTTTGACTCTCTGTGTGCAGCCCAAAATGCCTGAGCCAGCAGGGTCACGGAGTCTCGCTGGTCCTCATGTGCACCAGGACTCACTTCTTCCCTCCTTGTATGGGCAAATCACGAGCCTGATAAAGCCTGTCTGGCTCTGGGCTCCCTCTTCCTCTGCTTCCCCCATCCCATGTCCCTGCAGATTTTCCAGCCCTGGGCCTCTCTCTCTCTCTCTGTGTGCAGTTTATCCTGGGGAGCCACAAATCCAGCAACTCTGCCCTGGTCCCAGGGATGGCTGCCACGGTGGGGCTGACAGATGCCAGGTGGGTGGTGGGGCAGGAATTGTGTGCCCACAGGGAGCAGAGTGTGGCCCTGGACACTGGGGATACACCTTGTGCTGCTAAGGAGTTGTTGACACAGGAAATTGAGAGAAATGCTAAGCCTTCTCTGCAACAAATGCCAAATAAACGCTGCTGTTTCTGTTGTATCTCAGAATATCACCTGGAGTGTTGGTGCAAACAGTGGATGCAGGCTGAAAAAAACACTGAACTGAGGAAAATACACCCAAGCAGAACCCCTCCCAAGCCTGTCACCCAGGATGCCAAGACTCCCTCTTCCCTTTGCACAAAGGTGACATTTGTAAAGAGCTCCAGGGCAGGTTTTTCCATGCTGATGGCTCAGCAGCTCTCCCTGCCCAGCAGCAATAACCAGGTTTCTCAAAGAGCCAGGTCAGCGTAGAGGGGAGGTGCAGTGTTCTGTGGAAAAGCTGGGCCATTTAATGCAGTGCCCCTGTCACAGGGAGCTAAGCCACCCCATGAACCCATGCTAGTGACATGTCCTCTTCAGTCCCCATGTGTGGTGAGCTGCTGATGTGTGTGTGCTGGCATCCTCCTTCCCTGTCAGAATAAATAAATACTCCCATGGGGCTGAGAGCGGGTCTGCAAATAGCTAATGAGAGCTGAAATCCCAACCTGAAATTACCACACTGCTGGTTGAATGGGGTTGGAAAAGAATTCCTTTTCTTTTTAATGTCTTTTAAATGTAACTGGCTAGCAGGGGGGCATCACCAAGGCTTTGTGGCTGACTCAGCTGTGTGAGAGCCTGCCCACCCCGCAGGCAGGGCTCCTCTCTGCCGTCACTTGTACCCAACCTGCAGCCTCCTCACAGCGTCCTTTGTGAGAGAGGGATTGGGGGAACGGGGGCTGCATCACTCCCTGGGTAATTGCCCCCATTCAGGGATGTTTGGAGAAGTGGAGGAGGTTTGTAATTGTGCCTGGCTTTGGCACGCAGCAGGCAGAGAGCAGCGCCCGGCACGGCAGCGTGGGTATCCCGGCACAGAGCTCCTGACGTGGCTCAGCAGCTGTGTCATGGCTTGGCAGATGCCTGTGGGACAAATGTAGGTGTCAAATGCTGGCCTCAAGCCTCCTCCTTACCATTTGCAGCAAGTTCTTCTACAACCTCCAAAACAGCTGCGTAAATCAGGGTCCAACTGGGTAAATCTTCATTTGTATCAGTGTACCACAGAGTTTGACTCTTTTGTGCTGCTACACACATGTCCCAGTGCAGTGACCAGCACCTGTAGCTTGCCACGGGCCAGCCTCAGTACCTGGTGATGAGATTTGGAGGCTCTGTCCTCCCAACAGCTTTTCTTTTGCTGTGGTCACTGTGGCAGAGGCACTGCTGGTGTTTGAGGATGTTGTCCTGTTGCCACCCATAGTCAGATCCTCTTTGTGGCTACAGTCATGGAAGCAGATGTGAAAACCACAGTGTGGACAGGGTGGATGCTTCTGATGTTGAGTAGGAGGAAATGGGACCCTCTAATCAAAAAGGAGATGTATTGCTCTGTGTGTGTTATAAATGGATAGGGAATTGAGTCCCAAGGGGACTGATGCTTGCCCTGCTCATCTCACTTTTAACTACTGCTCTGGATGGATTATTTCCTCTGCAGAAATGAGGATTGGGAAGGGATGGCTACCAAGAGACAATCCTATAAGCTATTCTAGCAATCTGTTACCTGAAGAGGTGACAGCCACATATGAGCCTGAGATAGCAGAAATTTTCTTTAGAGGCAATTAGTTATAGCTAAACAAATGTTGACCAGCTGGTGACTGCAGCCATTATTGGGTTTTTTTTTGGGCGAGGAGAGAGATTTTAAATGGATTCCATCTAACTATGCTGTGTAGAAACCATCGAGTTTTGCTCAAAAAAAGACTCCATAGACGTCATTCATTTCAAAGATAAATCTGGTTCTTTAGTTACTGAGTTGCTTTAAAATGCAGATTAACCACTAGCCAAAATAATTTTCTCTTGCAGCTTGAATTTCAGTGGAGTCCATCTGGCATCTGCTGGGCAGTTTAGTGACTTCCTGGGGAGCATGGGCCCTGCACAGTTTGTTGGCCGTCAGACCTTGGCCACCACCTCGATGGGTAAGGAACACAAAGGAGTTGGGTGGCTTTAACTGAGCCTTGAACAGACAGCTCCTACAAGGCACCTAATAATGTGTCCAGCATCTGCTGATCTAACATTGTCCTGCTCTATTTCTCTGTTAAATCGAGTGAGCTTGGCTGAAAGGTTTTGCTGACTGCAGCAAATGTGGCATTAGGAGGAGAGCAGCAGCTTTATGCTTTTCTCCCTCAGCTCTGAAAGGCACAGACTGAGTAAAATGCAGCTAAAATCCTGAAAATGCATCTTGTGGGGTTTTTCTTTCTGTAAGGCCCATCAGGCTCTGTAAGAATTTTGTTATGGTCCACCATAATTGCATTTTCCAAAGCAGCTTGCAATCCTAGGTTCTTCCATTTGGAAGAGATGAGAAGCTTGCTGCCACAAAGAGTAGGAGACTGAGCCACCAAAGCCATTTTAGAGGGCTCCCAGTCAAGTTTGCTTTTGAAAATGTGGCCTGGAATCACTGTGGAGCTGCTCCAGAGTAATACAGGAGGAAATCAGGCACATATAGTTTGTTACAGTTTGTGTAGGAGGGACATGAAGATTGTTTTTTAAAAATTTTTGTAACCCAATGATGTATTATTTTGAAAGTCTTCTATGTATTTTGACATTCTGGTTTAGGGGACGTGGAAATTGGCTTGCAAGAGCGAAATGGGCAGCTTGAAGTGGATATCATTCAGGCTCGAGGACTGACACCAAAACCTGGCTCCAAAACACTGCCAGGTAGGATGCTTTGATCTCCTAAAGTACTGCCCTGAGCCTCTGCCTCCCACAATGCTTGTGAACAGGGAAAATTTGAATTTTTGCTTGGCAGGACTGAGCAGCCTGTGTGTGGTGCTGAAAACAAAGCTGCTTGGGCAAATCTTTTCCCTTCTGTAACTGCCTTCTTTAGAAACACCTGAGACATGCCACACTGTCTTTTCTAAAGTGACCATGAAGATTTTCTTCATATTTGACCATGTTCTTTGTTCCAGCTGCTTACATCAAAGCTTACCTGCTAGAGAATGGCGTGTGCATTGCGAAAAAGAAGACAAAAGTGGCTCGCAAGTCATTGGACCCTTTGTACAATCAGGTGTTGCTGTTTGCTGAGAGTCCCCAGGGCAAAGTATTACAGGTAAGATGAGCAAGTCTCAGGTCTGCCCCTCTCTCTCTTCCACCTCTCATGGAAGATATTGAGTCCTGTCGTGCTGGTTAATTAGCATAGATGAGAAAAAGCCAATGTTTGTGTCAAACCAAATGCACTCAATATGAACTTAGCAAAGGGAAAGGAATCCCTCTTTCTTCATACCCAAGCTGATGATTATTTGACACCCTGCCAGATACCATGAGTGGATTGATTTTTAATTTTTTTTAATTCTTTTTTTCCCAACCAGTTAGGAGATGGGTGGTACCCATAGGTGCTAAAATGATCCTGCAGCATGGGTTGCCTTCTGTGCTTATACACATCCAGGGCATTCTGCTTTGCCATCACCCAATTGCATATCTTACCTTTTTCTACCTCTTTTCTGTTACTGCCATGTGTTTTCTGCCATACTCATATTTTCAACTCTGTACCTATGTTTTCAGAGCAAAGAGTGATTTGCATTGTTAAATCTTATAAAAATAATTTCCATCCAATAAAGCCTGGCTAAAGTGTATTTGTAATACTAATGTAATTAATCCATGAGTTTCCATTCTTTACCTCCACTGGTGTCTAAATTGCCAGCTAACCTGCTGGACTCTTTTCTTCAGTGACTTCTACCTCATTTGCCTTGATTAGAAGCATTTTCCCCTGATGCAACAAAACTGCACATTTATGACTGAAATGGAATGGGACCTGGCTTGGTCTGCTCTTGCCTTGCATGGGTTTCCTTACCTGCTGCCTTGCTGCCAGGAAAGGCACTTATTCCAAGAATAAATTGAGGAGCTTGGCTTTTTTGCTAATGGACATGTCACCAAACTCGCTTTGTGCAGTGGCTTGCTCCATCTCCTGCTGAGATGTGAACTTTTGGTTTTTGATTGACATTCATTGTCTCTCCTACCTCATTTTACAGAAAACTGTAGTGTTGTGGCTGTTAGGAGCCTAGGGAAAGAAGCTGTCAGGATTAGCCAGAGATCACTAATTGTCATCATAACCCGTCCTACTCATCCTCTCCTCTTCAGAGCACGGACTCACTCTGCAGTCAGTCGTCACCTTTGTCACGACAGGGCCACCTGGCCAGACCTCCAGCATGCCTAAGCCCATGACCCTCACTGCATTTGTTCTTCCACCCACTGGTCTCCATCGTGTCGTAAGTGTGACTCAGCTTTCCCTGCTCCTCTGCCAGCTCTTCCATTGCCCTTCCCCTGTCTGTGAGCCGTTCTGGGCCGTCTGTGCTGCTTGCCCTGCATGTCACTCACGTGTGCCCCTCGTGTCATGTCCCTGGCTCCTGCCTTTCCTCCAGGTGAGTGGCCATGCCTCATCTCCATCTGCCATGTGTGCAGAAGTTAAAACATGCTCTTCTCCTCAAACTGTTGGCTTTTGGCCCAAGTTGTTGCCCACCTTTTTTTTTTGTTGGTTTATTTTTCCAGATCAGGAGCTCCTCCTGCCCTTCCTCCCCAGGCCACCTTTTGGTGTCCAAGGCCTGTTATATGGCAGGACCAGATTTTACCTGCAAGTGTTGGACTGCAGCCCTGAGGATACTTTGTGCAGGTGCTGCCCCTGCCCAGCAGAATGGTGTCTTGTCCACATGCACATTCACCTCTGTTTCATGGGAGAAAAAAAAAATCCAATAACATTAGGATTTGTAAACATGTGTTTAAAATAAAATAGTAACATCATGAGGCAGAACTTCACATCGCCTGTTGGTAGAGTAAACATTTCTGGTCTTCTCAGACTGTAGCAAAGCTCCAGAAAGTTGGATGAGTCGAAGGATTGGTCAGACTTGTGCTGCCCAAGGAAGTGTGAAAGTTGGAGGATTAACTGTGCTCCCCCTTCTTGTCCCTAAGGTGATAGTCTGGGGAAACTATGGACGCATGGAGCGCAAGCACTTCATGGGAGTGGCCAGGGTTCTCCTGGAAGAACTGGATTTGTCAACTTTAGCAATCGGCTGGTACAAGCTCTTCCCAACTTCCTCGATGGTAGATCCCACCACAGGCCCGCTCCTGCGCCAGTCCTCCCAGCTTTCCCTGGAGAGCACAGTGGGACCCTGCTGTGACAGGTCTTAGTGAGTAAGGAAGGGGGAACTGCTTTTGTTTTTTAAACATGCTGTCAAGGTTTTGTTTGCTGGAACTCTGACCTCAAGCGCAATGCATGTTCAATCAGTTCTTGTGGAGCTGGAAGAGGAGGATAACCCAGTGACCTTAGACAGAAGACGAGGGGGAGGGCACTGTGCCCTCTCCGTCCAAGGAGGAGGTGCCATGGGGCATGAGTCCTAGTTGTCAAATTAGACATACACCTCTTGTTTCACTTCTCTCGCTGTCATTCTTGGACCCTTGTTTCAGATCAATATTAACCCTGGAAAGTTGCAGCATTCGAAAGAATTTGGGGGGAGTAAGGAATTGATTTCTCTTAGCTGTGCGTGTTAGAAATTTCTAATATGAATTCTTTCACAAGAAGGTACCTGAAAAATTTAGAGGTCATCATCTGGCCTAAAAAAGAGCAGGAACGGAAAGTTTAAGAGGAAGCATTAGGTCTTTTTATAATGTCTTTCTTTCTGAGAGGAAGAAGAAGAAAAAAACCTGCAACTCTTTCTTTAGAATCAGTTCCCTGTCACTGAGTCATGTTAGCTGTAACACTGTCGTTGCTGTGTTTTCAAACTGTGCCAAATTACCAGCAAGTGTCTTTACTGCATTATGTGTCTAACACTGCTGATGAAGCATACTTGGTGGGAGAACAAGTAGCACCCACTTAGAGCAGACAGTTTAAACAGAGTTCGAGTTTAGCAGGCTAATTAGCCACAATTTTGCTCAGTAAAAAACCCCAAAACGCTAGAAGTGGGAGCTGAACAACACACTTGCAGCTTGAGGTGTTTTGTATTGTCAGATAAGACATTCTGCAGTTTGCTGACTCCCTTACTTGTTGCTGTGCATCTTTCAGTCATGATGTCTTCTATCTCCTGCTTTTTTCCTTCATCTCCTTGGTACTGGTACATATCTGCTGGAGATGCTGTCCTTCCTTCCCAGACCTGAAACAGGACTGTTTGTTTTATTCTGCCATGGGAGAGGAAATGGGGGGTTCTGGGGGTGCACAAGAAAAGAATCTCAGTTTGCCATCTGAGAGAGAGCCCACAACCCTCCCTGTGGAGGGAGGGGAGCTTTAGGCAGTCTTGGCACTACACAGGCATTGTCAAGTGTCCTGCAAGAGGAGATGTGATCCCCAAAGTACAGAGAGGTGGTGAGTGAGGAATGTGATGACACAGTGGTCACAGCACATGTGTTCTGTTCATTAAATGAGTAAAGCACATTTGCTGAGCTGTGGCAGCTGCTGCCAGCAGAGCCATGTGCTGGAGGAAGGGCTCTGGATCCTTCAGACAATTAAATTATCCAGAATCACAGAGAATCTCCAGAGATTTTCTGTTGATAGCTCTGTTTTGGCTAGGTTTTGTATTAGTTCCTAAATGAGGATTTGATGGCTGCTGTCCCAGAATAAACTTTTAGAGATGTTTTACTTTGTGGTTTAAAAGTGAAGGTCCCATGTCCCATGTAGGAATGAGCAGATTCTTGGCCTGTCATAGAGAAATACTGAGCATTTATTTCTGCATGTGGACCTCAGCTTTCTTAGAGTAAAAGCATGAGTGTTGAGTGGATGGTAAAAGCAGTTGCTTTTGGTCCTAGCTTGTCTATGGCATTTTAAATTATTTTGAGATAAATTACAGGATAGATGCAAAAATTATATAGGCCTTACAATAATCTGTAAAAAATTATATAATATAAAGAAGAGGGAAGGAGGACAAAGGACATAGAATGAGTAATTTTTTGAGTCTTCAGTGGCAAAAGCCTCAACATTTCAGATAAATCTCTTAATTTCCTTGATCAAATATGTCTCTGGCCTCTCACTAATTATTTTTTCTAATGTATTAGACAATTTCTATATATTAGCTGAAGAAAGTTTGTTGCATGCTGGTCAAACTATGTTGTGGCGCTCTCTCTTTTATTTTTATTTTTAAAAAAGAAGCACATTTACTGTAATTCAAGTCAGCATCTTTTCCTCTTGGTATGTAGTGAGTACTAGGCAATATTGTACAATATGTGTATGAACTAGACTAGATTAGGTAGATTTAGTGGTTTGTAGCACTGGATCTTTTAATAACTATGACTTTAAAAGGACTGTGGGGAGCTCCAGGCACACACCAGACCTGGCAACAGGGCTTCTGTCTTAAGTTATGCCAAAAGCTTTGTATTGGTACTTAGTTTGGACATTATCTACCAGTAAGAGCTAAGTTAATCCTGAGTTTCCTGTGCCCAGTAAGACGAATGCAGCATTTTTGCAGTTTTTAATGGGGAGTAGGAGACTATAAATGCCAAAAATATTTCCCCAGAAAACTTTGTTTAACGACTGTCTGTCGAAAAGCTCAGTTCCTGTGTGCCTGGCAGATGCAACTTGTCTCTGTTTCCTGCCCCTCTGAAAGCTCTGCAGGCTCAGTGATGATCAATTTAGTTACCACAGGACTCCTCAACACCGAGGACTAGCTTCCGTCTGGTTTTAATCATGCTGAAGGGTCACTGTCAGGGTGAAATAAAGAAGTTATGGTTCTAGTTGTGTTATTTTTGTTAACATCTCCAATCCTGTAATTTGGAGGCAGTTTCACAGTCTGCTCCAAGCGATTTTCTTCTGCATTTTTTACGTGGTTGATTGTGGTCCAGTGCTTTTGTTTGACTCGCTCCAAGTCCTGTTTCTCCCCAGTAAGTGAGCCCTGCAATCCCTGGCTGCCAAGCACAGCACAGTCACACGGACTGGCAAGTGCTTCCTTCACAAAGCAGACTCACAGGACACAGAGTGAGGCTGGGGGAGTTGCATGGTACCCTGCAGTTCAATTCTTGCTTCACTCACACACATGATTCCTGCACTGGCCATGGTGTGTTGTAGTCAGAAAAGAACTCTGCTAGTTGCCCATCGATTTAAGACTCCCAGTGTAGCATCCAAGCCAAGTCTCAGGCTTGGAATAGCCTATTTTTATAAAGCCTAACCCACTTTTCCCCAAAAAAATTGGCTGGCCAGTTTCTGTCTAAGGCGATGTGGTGTGCGAGTTGGGATTACCAGTGTGGTCGTGTATAAAGCAGCATTTTGCCATAGTGATGAGCAGCTGAAAACTGAATTTTTGTCCCCTTTGCAATTCCTGGCTGAGTCTTTTCCTGTGCCTGAGTCTTGCTGTTGGTTACAGTCAGGGAGGGAGAGAGGAAAAGCAGGAGACTTAAATAAAAGAACAAAAAGGTGTCAGAGTATTCTTGGTTGGTGAATGATTATGAGGGATGAGACTGAGGAGAGATAAACGCCTGCCCAACTCAGGGGTGATTCTCTGTTCCTTGTGCATGAACTGCTGCATTGTAAAGGTAAGGGGAGCATTGCTGGCCAAAAAACCCATGGAGAGCCAATCCCTAAATGTTACCTGCATTATGGAAAACAAAGAAATGTTGGTGCTGAGAGCGGGATGGTCCCTCCCCAGTGGGAATCCCCTGCACACAGGGAGAGCAGCCTTGCATGTGGCTTTGTCCTCTTTGTGCTCGGAGCAAAAAGCAGCTATGACTATGGTCCTGGTTTGTTCAGGAAAAAAAAATGTGATCTTTTTCCCAGTCTCCTGGTGTTTCTTTCCCTTTGCCCCAACGCAGCTGGGATGGCCAAGGTCCTCACTCTGCAATTCAATCCATGGGTCCTCATCCAGCAGCTGGAGCTGCTGGAGCATCCCTTTGCACTGCAGGCACTGTGGGCAGGGTCAGGGACAGCATTTCTTGGCCATGGATTGTTTCAAAGGACACTGCAGAATTATTTGCTTTGAGTGAAAATATATATTTATTGTTCCTAGCTGCCAGATTCTTTATCATTGTACTGTTCTAAATTTGCAGGTCTTCTGGAGTATGAATATCACAAGTTCCTGTAAAGGAGCTGTTTTTAAGATGTTGAGGCAGTTAACAGAATCTCAACCTAAGCATGTTTAGTAATGTTTAGACAGCAAGACAACTTTTTTATGAAACTCATTTTAAGTTAGTTTATTACATGCTGTTGGTAATATTTTAAAACAGGAAAAATATTTTTCTTTAAAGACAAAATGATATGTATGTTTTTTAACAGGTAACATAATTTAGTGTTTTCAAAAATGTTTGATGTTCTTGGTATGAAGTTTACTCATTCTTTTGATTTCTATGTTCCTTGTTATATTTTATCAACTTTTTTCCAAAAGAAAAGAGGCATATGTAAATAAACACCAGAAAAGAGTCCTATAAGAAATTCTGTTCAAACTGGCCATAAAATTATTAGTAAATATTTGTTATTGTTCATTAACTCTCAGCTACTTTGTTGAAAGAATAGATGTTGTATTTTCAAGATGAGAACTACTAAGCTAGTTTTGTCATAATCCTGTACTCTGTATAAAAATCTTTTTATAAACAAAGTCTAATAGGCTACCAAGCAATAATATATTCCATTGGGTGTGCACAGATTGTGACTTGCAGGCTGTAGTACATATTGTTGATACAGTTTATAATTGTCTTCAATCTGAACAACATCACTTTTGAAAAAGGTCCATATTAACTTTGATTGTAAAAAAACAAAGACTGGGCTGTTGCCTTGTGAGATATATTCATTCTATAGACTTCTCTGTGAGTGTCTGTGCCCATCAACATGAGATCTCTCTTAGGTGAAGAAAGAAACAGCTGTAGGTGACTTCATACTACAGAGGTAAAAATTAGTTTCAGTATAAACTTCATGACTGTTTCAATCTCCTGTTTTTCTTAGGCTATCTAGTATTTGTAACTTGACGAGAATGGTTCCCACTGCCATTGTAGCCCTGATAAAGCAAAAAAGCCTTTGCACTCTGGGGCCACTTGAGTTCTGCCTGACAGCTGCCTATTTTCCTCAAGATACCTGGGGCAGGCTAAAGGGAGGGGTTGTTTTCAGAGCAGCAGATTGGGCTGCTCTTCTTCAAAGGCTCTGTGGGTTATTTTGTCCATTTCATAGGTGGTATTTGTCCATTTTGTTAGAAAATTCCACCCAAGGCAGAGAGGTTGCACCTTTGCAGGGGATCACAGGGGACCAAGGTGTAAAACAGGCACAGGTTGTTCTGTGCCTTGCTTCAGAAACTTGCTAGTGCTGGGCTCTCTGATTTTTCCAAAGTGGCAGGATCAGGATACTGGATTTTAAGTCAGCTCCATCACTGATGCAGTGATAGAATAAAAGAGCTTCAAAACAGCATCCCAGTCCATTGCCTGTGGATTCCTCCCAGCATTTCCCACAGGACAAGTGTCCATGTTGTTCTCAAGATTGCCAGGCTGCTGGCTGTGCAGGCAGCAGGTCCCAGTGGTGCTGGGAGCCCCAAGGAATGCTGGAAGAATTCCTGGTTTTTATTAAATGCTTTGAAGAGAGAGAGAGAGAGATGTGTGTGAATGCAAAGTGCCATCAGTAGAGGAGTCCAGGGCCTATTTGTGACCTGGAGGGAGCATCTAAAATGAAATTGCAGCTGCCAGATTTGAGCCAAGCATTTGGAAAAGAGGATGATCAATGAAAAGAGAATGATCAGTGAAAGGCTTTTTGTGTTTACCCCAGTGCACACCAGGCAAGGTGTGTGTCTGTGAACCTGGTGATTCCACAGGGAGTTTGCAGAATGTGGCTTCAGCTCTCACTGCCAGACTCCTCTGCTCAGTGGCCACGTCCCAGTCACCAGGCAGCCTCAGATCCATCCCCAGCTGCTCACCCTGGACAGCAGCATCACACTCACCCCTGGGGAACCTCCACTCTCCCCACAGTACAGGCACCCTCTGCCCTCCCTTCCCCGTGGTAGCTGCTTTTATCCTGGTGGAGGAGAGGAACCAGGGAGAGTTTCTTTGTAGCATTTGGTTCTTTGGACTTCAGTGGCTGAAACAGAAGGACCTTGCACCAGCCCTTTCCAGAGCACCAGCAAACAGAGACAGTGACCCAAGGACTTTCCCTTTGTGACTTTGCAGTGGCTAAAATGGCAACCAA